AACAATGGTAGTGCGCACTTGGATGCCCAGTCGCACCGCCACTTGGAAGTCGGTCGCCACTCGAAAGCTGTAGAGATTGCACTGTGCCAGGACGACAGCGTAGTGACGACGGAGCACAAGGCCGGCAGCCGTGCGCTCCTGTGAGCCAATGGCACGAAGCGCCTGGCGGGTGGTATCCGATGGTGGTGCTCCAAAGAGAACCGGTATCGGCTGCAGGGCGATGCAAGAGAGGAGTGGTGCCAGCAAATGGTCCGGTACAGCGGCCATGGCTTACCTCTAACCCTTACAACTATAAGCAAACGGCAGCCAACTACCTGAGTCTCGTGGAGGCGGAGCCAAGTGCGTATTGGCAGCCAATCCCGAAAATCATTCAAGGGATACATCTAGCCTAGCGCCGTGGCGCACAGCTCATGTATGGCTGGCCCCATACAAGCGTCCCCCGGGCATGTTGCCGAAGTGGCCAAGCACTAAGCAAGCTCTCGGTATACACCACCTGCACACGCCCGTAGCCGAATGGCCAGGACCGGGGGGCAAGATCAACGGCCATAACACCATCCAAACAGTGGTCGGGTGTTAAGAACTCCTGACGCGCCACTCTCATTGTGACAGGCGGACGTGCGGAGCGCGTCGTTCCCAATACCGCACGGCCATCTCCCAGAGAACCCGGCGAAAGTGAGCAGGGTCTTCCATATGTGTGTCATTAAGGGTATACAAGAACGCCCAGTCGCGCGAATCCTGGCGTTTTTTCAGTTGCTGTCGATTGTAATAGTAAACAGGTGAGGGCTTATGGTAGTTGGGCACTAACCGAAAGCCCAAAAACTGATAATCGAGACCGTCCGCTAGTCCTCCCTGGGCTTGAAACTGCCTAGCCGCCGCGACCCAGTCCTCAATGCGGAGACCCTGACCCAAGGTGTATGGCGGATATTCCATTCGGAGGCCCATGGGAACATCAGCGAAATCCCGCCTAACGATCTCCGCATGCCGGCCTGTATGACTCCCCATTAGAAAGAAGCGTTCGGGGTAATACATGGTGATCCTTTTGGGTCCCGGCAACCAAACCGCCAGAGCTGCGCGTAGGTCGTAGCCATCCTGTTGGGTCCACTGTCGGACTCTGGCCAATGCACTTGAAAGCAGTCCTGCCGGCTGTAGACTAACCCAGACCCCCGGGTGGATCTACACAGTGGGTTGTTTGACTTAGGTGAGAAAGAAAGAGAAAGAAGAGATAAAAAAAGATAAAAGTGAGATAAGTTAAATCTGTTTTATTTTTTAGTATCTTTTTCTATCTTTTTCTATCTTTCTTTATCTTTTTTTATCTTTTTCTATCTTTTTTTATCTGATTTAAGGAAAACCAGTAGGCTCAAAAGATACCGAACATGGAAAGCACAAACACGTCAAACTTTGCGGCACTTTCCGCAAGGCTGAGTGAGCTGCAGCTGCAGCCGTGCACCAGGGACTGCCTCAGCTCCTGCCGCCAGAGCTTCGGAAGGCAGGCTTGCAGCCGGAAGCGCATCAGCGTCGGGCGCAAGGCCCAGCAACTGGGTGGCAGTTTCCTCGCCAGCTTGCTCAGCATTCAGCTGCGTCTCCTGTGAAAGATAGGAAGGGCTTGATTTCAGGTACTTATACCTACGATGGCAATCCCGAGTGCTCGGGTCTGTAGCGGCCATGCTTGGCCGGCACGGCAGGAGTCTGAGCTGCTGGGGGACAAGACCTATAGACGCTGCTGCCGGGACTTGAGCCACACAGACCAACCAGTGAAGAAGAGCTGCTGGACCCTATTGGGGACCCTGGCGGAAGGTAGTGTGGTGTAGTGCGCCCCTGGGCCTTGGGAGCCTGAAGGAGAGTAGTGCCTGGAGCCCTCTACGAATCTGGGCCAGCTGGGGCCGGGTAGTGCAGGGTAGTGCGTGTAGTGCCTCATCTGGGCCTCAACCCTGGAGGCCAGAAGGTCTTTGCCTCTGGCAGATTCTGAGACCTAGTAGGCTGCTGCTGCTGCTGCTGCTGGCGGGACCCCCCAATACAGGCACAGCGGACAGCTGCAAGAGAGTGTCTTGCAATCTGTTTCACTTCCGCTTCAAGATTCAAGGCTTCGGGCATAAGCCTTCTGGGTTTAGGAAGGATGTGTGCAAGCTCCAGCTGGTTTTTGGCCTCAAAGAAGGGCTCGGCGTTTTCCACGTGTGCAGAAAGGACGTGCACTTCGTAAGCTGTGCCGGCCAGTATAGAAACGCCAATCAGAGCATTTCTTCTGTGATCGTGCAGTCTGGTCTCGCATTGCCTCTTCAAGCCTCGCGGAAGGTGCACGAAAAAAACTACATGCACGGACTCGTCAAAGCGCCGTCTGTTGATACTCCTGCTATCTCTGTTTTATCTTTTTTTATCTTTTCCTATCTTTTTTTATCTTTTTGTATATGTTTTTATTTTTTTTTATCTTTTTCTTTCTCTTCTGGCCATACACTACTTCTTCACCCTGTTGGCGCAGCTATCTTTTCTAAGTCCGTTCTAAGTCTTTTATCTCTTGCCATCTTCCGTCGAAGATAGTATCTTGAGATAGAGATAGAAACGAGTTAGACCATGCCTAAGTCACTTATAAATGGTTTATAACCTGGATAGTATCTCACCTATCTCACCTATCTTCAAACAACCCACTGTGTATAAATTAGATCCACCAGCTAGTGTCTCTAAATTTTAGATCCATTCAAGAAATCGTCTCTATTTTCTAAATATGACTTGCCCGGTTCGGTGGCGAAATGTTGTGCATCATGCTCAGGTTTGTGTAAACTTGCTCTGGCCCGTTATGGGAGTTGAAACAAATGGCTCCGGATTGTGCCACGATGGCAACACTGTGTCTCACATCGTCTTCGAGAGTCAAAAAATTCAGGGTCCTGGGACTGTAGGGTTTTGTTGTAGCTTCGAAACCTTGAAAACCTTCGTGCGTTGCATTTATGAAGCCCAAAACGGCTCAACAACCCAAAACCTTAAGGAATTCCCCTCCTGAAAGAGTTCAAGAGCCAACCATGCATGCATGGACTCCAGGTTTTGGGCTCAGGTACGAGGTCAAGTTAAGACTGCTTCTGCTGCCATGGACGACGACCGTCGACTGCTTGAGTTTGAGCTCCCTGGGCTTGCCCATGATCGGCCTTCGCTGCAAGAGCAAGCAAAGTCTGTCGAGCGACAACTCAGAAGAAGTGGTGCCGACAAAAAGCTTGCTCGCTATTTGGTTACAATGTGGGTCCGAAGCTTCATCGATCAATCCCAGATCCTGGGCTTGCAATTGCCAATGTTTTCCGTTTTTGCAGGTCTGCATGCATGCATATATATATATATATCACACATAGCAAGCCAATTAAGGGAAGACACTTTGCGGGACCACTTGGAAGTGCTGATGTACACGATTGAGCTCCGACTGCCAGATCTTATGCCCGATTCTTTGTCATACCGAAGCAAACATGCAGAGTATCAGTGGCTGAGAAAGCTCGAATTGGTTTAAACGAGAGTCGGTGCAAGGGCTTTGTGAAAAGGATTGCATGCATCACATGTTTACACATGTCTGTGCACTAATTTACGTTTTTGCCGGATCTCGAACGATGCCACAGTTCGCATGCCTGGAGCCATATTGTTTAAACTCTTAAACCTGGAATGATTGCTGTTTCGGTTTTCAGGAGTACATTTTTGTTTTTCCTGAAGGGTCGGAATGGAGTGCCCTGTGTGCCAGAAGATGCAGAACAAGGCTCAGTGGCAGCCGGCGCAGTGGAAAGCCCGAGCAGCATGCTTGCCGGATGGGCGCAATTGTTGCAAGCAATGTGACCAGGATGGGGCCTGCATCACCCGCCCGATGCAGCAGCAAGTCAGGGCACTTTTGCAGTCCGTGTGCGAGCTCCGGATTCGGATGGATGATTTGGTGGCCGACCTTTCCGAGATTCTCATCCGGTTGCACAGGCAGGGCAATGCTGTTCTGGACGCCCAGCATGACAAGTTCCATAAAAAACGTGCGAAGCAGGGTATCAGGGCGGTTGGCAACGACGTGCTCAAGTATGGGATGATGCTGTTGGCGCCAAGGGCTGTGGAGGAAACTGGCATTACACAAAAGACGTCGGCCGGACGACTTATGGAGGCGGCACTCTACAAGTTTCTTCTTGTCAAGCACATAGACACCTGGCAGGAGTTCCAGCTTATGAGGCTCGTGCAGTATTTCCTGGAAGACCTGCACGACTTGTGTGCGGTGGCAAAAATCGAGACGTTCCTGTCCTGGGAAGACTTGTCGGGAAGCTTGCAGGCGATCCTCACTGTGGAACCCCGGGACCCCTTAAACGTGTGATGCTGCAGCATGCACAAACAGCAAACATGTATAGACCTGTATAGGCTGTGCTGCCTCTGAATGCTGGATACCAGGATAATCCCAGCCGCAAGCAAAAAAACTTGGTCTGGCTGGCTCGGAATTTTGACCTTGTCGACTTTTCACCCTGTCAGCTTGTAGTCTCTGCCAGAAAGCCCGCCAAGAACTTTTGAGCTTGTCGACTTTTCAGCCTGTCAGCTTGTAGTCTCTGCCAGAAAGCCCATAATCGCAGTTCAGACTTCTGCAGTCCGCCATCGCCTCAGTCAGTTCGATCAACCCGAGGACAGATAGACTTCATGGGATTTCAAGGTAGCATACAAGTATCAATGGAGGTTTCAACCTCTGTGTTTGGGCCTTAGGGCTGCAAGTGCTTTGAGGCTTGGGGTGTTTCACGATCAAACCGAGTTTCAACACCTTGACGCTTCGACTCTGCTAGACGTCAGGGTTTTGGGCCTGTGGTGCTTCAAGTCTCCTAGGGGTCCTTCAGTGCTGTAAGCTTCCTCGAGCCTTTTGGTGGGTTTTGGGCTTGAGTTTTGAGGCCCCGCTGTTGTGTTGCAAGCTCCGAGAGTCACAAAACCAGGGGTCAAAGCTTCAGACTTGAGGGCTGTAGGAAGTCGCAATGAAGAGGCCTGCTAGCAAGCTTGCTCCGGGCCGCTCGAGATCCAGTGATGCCATGGACCAGTTGTGCGATGCCCTGCGACCCTGGGTGAAAGTTCCCTTCTTCATAAGCTATGGATCCGATAGGAAGCCTGGAAGCCTTTGTGCAGTATTTCGTTTGTCGATCCTGTCATTCTTTATTATTGATAGCATAACCTCAAAGTCTGATCCAGTTGATCGCTATACCTCATGCCCAGGAGCATGAAAGCGAGAGACAAGGAGAAGCTGAAGGAGTACCTCCCGCACTTTAAAAAGGTTCAGGCCGTGGACCGCACATGGAACTTCTCGCACAGCACGATCACGGCAGCATTGCAGCAGATAGCTCGGGCTACTTGGCATAAAGCTGTAGAAGCGTCAAACCGCATAATCCCAGAATTGCGAATTAACGATGTGTTGCCCAGGATGAGAAGTTGACGGTCTCGCCGACATGGGCAGGGGCCTACGCTTTAAAGCTTTCTGCGGCCTTCAGACATGTAGCCCAAGATGCCCTGAAATGTCGCAGCTGGCTCCCCAAGGCCTCACAGGGTTTCAAAATTTTTGTTGGGATTCAAGGTTTATCAAGGTCGAAGCCAGGGCTTTGCGGATTCTGCTCGAGATTCTGTGTGGCAGGATATGTGGAACTCTACACGAGAGAAGAAAAAGAAAAAGAAAAAGAAAGAGGGAGAGGAAGACGCCGATGTGAGTGCTTCAAAAGAGGAGCAGGATACCCAGCAGACGCAGATGACAGAGGAGACAATCGAGTCGCAGCTCGGGGATGCCGAGGAGGGAGAGGACAATGAAGAGAATGAAGAGTATGAAGGGAATGAAGAGAATGAAGAGGAGGAAGAGATGGAGCATGACGAATGCACGGAGCCAGACGACGAAGCATGTTTGAAGCGGCCTGCAGCGGCTGCTTTGGAGAAACCAGATGCAAAGAAGACAAAAGTTGCAAATGAGACACCACCTACAACGACAACGACGACAACAGTCATGGCAACAGCAGCTCCAACAAGGAGACACTTTTCCAAGGAGGCAGCAGCTCCAACAACCAAGAGCCACGTTTTCCAGGAGACAGCAGCCCCAGCAACAAAGACGGCAGCCGCAAAGCAGACAGCACGGTGCACCGCAGCCAAGTCGAAGCCAGAAGCAAAAGCCCAGAGCCAGCAGCAGAAGGCCGAGAAACCGTGCGACTTTTTCGCAGACCCTTACATCAATAAGATAGCATGTTGGTTTCTTTTTCATTGAAATCGTGAACGCTTCTCGGGGGGATGCAGCGAATCAGAATCAGCCATGTGTGTCACTTCGGCTGAGGAAGCTTTTGCAAGCAGCGAAGTTCCTATGGGAGCTATGGAGTCCATCACGGCTTTTGCTGAGCAAGAAGGCCGAATCTGCGATTCAGATGTGCATCTACCCTAAACAATACTCGGGTTTCTGACTTATGGGCCAATGTGCTGGTTTTCAACATGCCTGTCCTATCAGTTAACTTAGTGTCAAGAATACAAAGATGGGGATCGCAGGATTGCTGCTTCCGTATGAGCCGGAGATGACGCCGGAGCCGCTGAAAGCCAAGTCGCCGGATGATCTGGAGACTGAGCCGGGTGGCGAAGTCGCCGACGTCGCGACTCTTCCGGAGCCGCCTGCACTGGAGGATGTGTCCGCGAGTGTGATGAGAGATCAATACCAGCTAAAAGGAATTGCGACTTTGGAGCTGAACGGCAAGCCCGAGTATGAGTACGGCTTCGACAAGTCGCACGGGCGAGCTTGGAGGATGAGAATCCTGGGGGGAAAGAAGCGGGGACCGACGGAGTGGTCAAACCCGCCATCCTTGGATGACAGAGGTCCCCACGCAGCCGTTCGCTGTTTCTTCGCCGACGGCGATATCTTTGAATCTGGCCTGGTGACCCAAGTTTCTTGTCGTCGTTTTATCCTCAAACATCAATCCAAGCTTTAGGCTCTCCTAAAGGTTACGGTTTGTGCATGCATTGTTTTTAATTGTCTTGTTCCAGGAAACAATGCACCTTAACATAAATAAGCCCCAAGCCTTGAATCCGAAAAGAATACAACCTGGAACCTTTACTTCATCAGTACTTGCTCAGGAGGATGTTCAGCATCGCATGACCAAGCACAAGTCTGATGGCAAGCAGCCGAAGGCACAGCCCCGAACTCGCAAAGCCCAAGCCCCTAACCCGTGAGTCTTAAAACCCTGACACCCCAACACCTCGAAACTTTGAATTTAATTTATGCTTGGCCAGGATGACCTCCAGGCTTCCAAGAAGGCGAAGCCCAGCGACCAGGAGCCGAAGGCACGTCCTGATTCTCTTTCAAGACATCCGACATACTGCAAAGAATCAGTCCAACACAGGAGCCCAAACCCTAAACCCCCAACTCCTTAAACCCTTCATCCTGAAGCCTTAACCCCAAACCAGGCCCTAACCCTTAAGACCCCCGCCAGCCCTTTCAGGATGTTGGTTCCAACCCGAACAAGAAGGGCACGGCTGTGGCATCCAAGGTGGCTGAGCCTTGAAACCCCAAACCCTCACGCCCTTAATCCTTAAAACCCCCAGCAGCCCTTTCAGGAGGGTGCTTCGGACTTGAAGAAGAAGGACACGACCGGGACACTCAAGAAGAAGGCCTTGCAAACCTTCAAACCCCAAACCCTCACGCCCCCGAATCCTTAACACCCTCATCCCCAAAGACCTACAGTCCTATATAGCCCCAAACCCTCAAGTCTTCATACTCCTTAAGCCTCCGAGCCCTTTCAGGATGGTGCTTCGGACAAGAAGAACGACACGACTGGGGCATCCAAGCAGAAGGCCTTGCAAACCTTGAGCCCCCAAACCCTCACGCCCCTAATCCTTTTAATACCCCCATACCCAAACAGCTAATCCTCTAGCCCCAAGCCCTTAAGTCTTCATAATCCTTATAAGCCTCGGAGCCCTTTCAGGATGGTGGTTTGGACCAGAAGAACGACACGGCTGGGGCATCCAATCAGAAGGCCTTGCAAACCTTGAGCCCCCAAACCCTCACGCCCCTAATCCTTTTAATACCCCCATACTCAAACACCTATAGTCCTCTAGCCCCAAGCCCGTAAGTCTTCATAATCCTTATAAGCATCGGAACCCTTTCAGGATGGTGGTTCCGGCCAGAAGAACGACACGGCTGGGGGGGATGCAACCAAAAACCCCAAACCCCTAAGGCCCCACAACCCTTAAGACCACCAAGCCCTTAAAACCCCAAACCCTTAAGACCTCATATAATCTTCAAGCCCTATTGAGCCCTTTCAGGATGGTGGTTCCGACCAGAAGGATGACACGGCGAGGGCTGGGGCATCCATGCAGGCCTGGACTTTCAAAAGCCAAAACCCGGAAGACCTCATAATCCTTAAGACCCCGAGCCCTTTCAGGATGGTGGTTCCGAGCAGATGAAGGACACGGCTGGGGCTATGGCATCCACGCAGGCCATACTTTCAAAAGCCCTAGCCCTTAAGACCTTCATAACCCTTTTGATTTCATATTCCTTAAGACCCCCAAACCCTTGAAACCCCAAACCCCTAAGGCCCCATAATCCTTAAGATCACGAAGCCCTTAAAACCCCAAGCTGCGTGAAGTGTGCCCAGGTACAGCAGAGACAGGTTGTGCGACCGACGAGGCTGTTTTTGCTTGAAAAGTTTGGTAGTCGCGTGTACCGTGGCTAGGTGTGCTTATCTCGACATTCTTTAGACTTTCTAAGGTCTTTATCTTCACGTAGGTTATCAGCCGTAGCGGCTTAGGTAAGGTTTTGAGCTTCCGGTGTGAGTGTTACGTGTAGTAACGACTTCTTAGTCTGTGGCCATGGACCCTCTGACGCGGAAGAGACGTCCTGATATGGCGGCGGAGCAGGAGGAAGCCGGACGAGACCAGGAATACCGAGCAGCCTTGAGCCAAGCTGGAGCACCTAGTGTTCCGGTCGGAGGTGCCGGAGGGGCATCTCTGAATGGCGTGGTTCCAGGAAGGTTTGCTGGGGGAGAAGCCTCCCCGGGAACACTGGAATCAGGGGAAGCTGTGGTTTCGGGTGGAGAAGGCGTCTTGCCTACCTCGCATCCTTTTCATAGTGATCGGATTAAATCAGAAGTGCAACTGCAGCGATCCCGACCTTCTACACTGGATGCTGATGCGAAGCGTCTGGGCGTGGACACGGATTCGCCCGCTCTGGGGGAAGCTGGGGTTGGAGCGGAGCCGGACTATTCGGCAGCCTTTGCGTCTTCAACTGCACCGGGACCTCGAGTAGCTAGGGTGGAGGCGGCTCCTTTCGGGTCTGGATCTGGGCCTGAGGGAACTTTACATCGAGTGGTCAATGAGGCCCCAACGACTTCAGCAAGGCCGATTGATCATAAAGAGAATGTGGGTACTACAGAGCCGTCTGGAATTGCTACAGAGGGGCTGGACCCTATAGAGGACGAGGCTCCGGAGTTGCTGCCGGATGTGGACCGTACTACTAGGCTGGAGCAGATGATTTTGCAACTGGTCGATGAGAATCGGTCACTGAAGCGCAGGATGGAGCAGGCTGAATGGCGGTCTCAGGGAAGCTGGCATAGCGGGACCCCGGGAGAGGCTGCAATGACCTCGCCTGTTTCCTTCACGGTGGAAGGAGGAGCGCACTTTCGTGAGCCTGTACAGAGCTTTGGGGAGTTAGGAAGGTTTGTAGGAGGGCCTCAAAGAGCTTGAAGGAGTGGCCGAGTCCAGTTTCCCGGATCCTAGGAGAACAGGAGGGATTTATGGTGGTTCGTATGGTCTGAAGGGTGGAACGGTTTCGGGAGAGCAACTTTCCTTGGCAACTGTGGGTCCACCACCTGTCTCGTCGGGAGTTTCAAGACCACCAGGGATAGTGGGATTTGAGCTTGTGCCAACTTCTGGAATGGGGTCTCTCGAGGCGTTAGGGTCCTACGATGTGGAGGCTTCCGGGTCTTCAGGGTTCATTCCGAGTCCGCCTCCTCCGATTCCCTGCGGGGAACTTGTGCGATCTTCTGAGAGTGCAGCTGGGGCTACGCAGTCAATGAGGCAGTTTACTGCCCAGGCAATTGCCGAGACTTCGGGGTTTTCGGTGGGTTTCCATACTCCTAGGTCTGCGATTGGAAGTAGGGTAGGCTTCGACGTTAATGGGTATCCTATTTCCCCGGGGGGAACTGTTATTCGGCCTCCGCCAGTGCCGCCGCCCCAAAGGGAGAATCCGGGTTGGGCTAGTGGGCCAGGTGTTGGGGAAATGAGACAGGGGTTTGCCGCTTTACCTGGTGCCGGGATTCCTCCAAGCATTGGGGTTCCGCCTAGTGTGGGGGTTCCGGGTTTGAGTCAGCAGGGTGGAGTTCCTAGGTTGGGGAATGATGTACGACCTGAGGAACCGGCAAAGTATATTAGTGAATTGCCTAAGTTGAATCAAACGGAGCTGTCCCAGTCGGCGGTAACTTGTGGTAACTGGTTGGCCCAAGTAAGACAGGTTTTGGTTGGGCTTTCGCCGAGTGCTACGGTGTGGTGGCAGGGGGTCGAATCCCCTGCTACTAGGGCGTACCAAAGGTGGCTAGTAGCGGATCCGTTAGGCCGGTTGGGGATTGATCCGTCATCGGTTGTGGGGGAGTTTGACTCTCATCTGTACGGCAGGGTTGAGTCAAGGGCAATAAGTCTTCTGTTGGCAGCTGTACCGCAATCGGTAAGGGATGACGTGGTTACCAATCGGTGGCTTTCGAGTGCGGCTATCCTTTTCAGGGTGCTCTGTTTGTTTCAACCTGGAGGGTCTAGTGAACGATCTCACTTGTTGCCCCATTTGGTGAGTCCGGATCAGTGTAAGACGTTTGCTGAAGCAATCAAGGGTCTCCGTAAGTGGCAACAAGGGTTGCAAAGAGCGGGGGAAATACATGCTACCCTTCCTGACGCGTCTCTTCTCCTAAAGGGGGTTGACAATGCCACCCTAGCACTCCTAGCGGCTCATCCGATGATCGGGTTTAGGGTCAACGCGTTTCGCCATCAATTAGCTATCGATTATAACCCTACAGTGTCTAGTGTAGTCCAATTGGTCCGTCTTATACAGGCGGAATGTGAAGCGGCATCGATTACAACGGACGGAGGGGCAGATAAACGTGCTAGAGCGGCTGCTTTGACTGGTCCCAATCCTTCGCCTCCGGCTAAGTCGGTTCCTACTCCACCTCCCCCGCCATCTGTGTCGGTCTCAGCTGCTGTAACAGACAAGGGAGAGGGTAAGGGAAAGGGTGGGGGCAAGGCCAAGGGGGGTGATGGGGGCCAACAGTTGTGTCACAAGTTCTCAGACGCCTCGGGCTGCCGTTTTGGGGATGCGTGCATCTTTAAGCATGACAGGGCGAAAGCGCGTAAGGAGAATAGATGCTTAGCTTGTGGGCAGAGTGGACACTTTAGGCCAGAGTGCCCGCTGGTTGCGCCTGAGAATAGGCTAGTATCGGCAGAGGGCGGTAACGAAGGGTCGCCGAAGGGAGGTTCCCCAACGGGTGGAAAGGGTCCTAAAGCGAAGGCTAAGGCAAAATCAGGTGCCCAGGCGAAAGGGATTTCCGAAGATGCTGGGCCAAAGGCCGACGCTGTAGTTGCAAGTGCAGCTGCTGGTGGATCGAGTCCGAGTGCAGGAGTAAGCCAAGAAGCATTAGTAGCGGAAGCTACGAGGCTCCTAAAGGGGGTATCGTTGAGGGCTTTTACTGTGGATGATTGGGAAGTGGATCTTGCTTGGGTTCATAGCGCCATTGCTAATGCTTCTAACCAGGCTTTCTGCCTAGTGGACTCTGGGGCAACAAACGCCTTGAGGCCTGCTGAAGAATGCGAGCTCGGCACGTGCCGGGTAATTCATGTTGACCTAGCCAGTGGAGGTACGGAATTGATGATCAATAGCCATGGCACGTTATTGCATCCCGGACCGTGTCAAGTCATTCTACCAGCGAATTACTTGATCCAGATGGGTTTCTCCATTGTATGGAAACGAAGGGGTTGCAGAATAAAGCATCCTAAGAAGGGTTGTTTGGATGTTACTGTGGTTAAGGGTTGTCCTTTGATACCTCGGGAGGTAGGGTTGTCGTTGCTGAAGGAGTATGAAGATCGTCTAGCGGGGATCCCACTGCTGAATAAGGCGGAGGTGCGTGATTTGCAAGCGACGATGACTCCGTTTCAGTCTCGGACGTGGCTGAGGGATCGGCTACGGAATTGCGAACGGGGGTTGACGGATGTAGATCAGCTTACCTTTCTGCGTGGAGTGTTTCCTGGAGTTCCAGTGGAGTTTCTAGCCAGGGCATGTGTGCCTGCGCTTGACCGCAGCTTTGTTGATTGGGCGGAATCACCATGGAACCGGAGGTTCCGAAGGTCAGTGGATCGGGCCTCCCCCGGGTCTGTGCTAGTTGCTGTATCGCCTTCTCAATGCTCTTGGAAGGGACTTGGAAAGGTGGTAGCAGTATCTGATTCCGAAAGGGGCTTGGGTTCTCGCTTGGTGTTTCAGCTGTTGCTAAGCTGGGCTGAGCAGGGCAAGATTGGTGGCTTGGTTCAGGGAGACGGGCTTTTTGACGTAGGTCTGAAGCAAGGGGAATTTCATTGGAAGCCTAATTCAGGTACAGACGAAGGGCAACGGATCCTAGTAGAAGGTTCGGTTGGGATAATCCGATGGTTTTTGCTCTTTGCGGTGGCTCAGGCTAGTAAGGACGGAAGGTCCAGTCGGTCTGTAGATAGCCAACGGGATCCGAGTGCTGCTTCGCTGTCTGCGGATGCTGTGACAGGGGCTCAGGCTCTTGAACCGGCTCAGCGGGCTGGCAAAGACGAAAGTCTGGTCTTTATGGTGTGTGGGATTCCTGGGGATCCAAGGGCGAAGGGGTCTCAAGGGGTCTCGGGGGTACCTTGGGATTCTCGGTCTGTAGAAGCCTTTCAGCAGGCGTATGAGTTGAATCGAGCCAGCTTTGATCAGAGCTGTTTTGGAGCGATGGATCAGGTTTCTGCGGAGCTTCTGACGTCATCCTGGTTTCTTTATGAGGCAGTGCATGAGATACGGATGAGTTCGGAGGTTAAGTTGGCTTGGGAGCTCGTTCGACCGGAGTGCCGTAAGGATGGATCTGCGCCTAGGAGCTAGGAGGCCAGGTTGGGCACCGGGGTTAATAAGGGTGATTCAGGGAGCATGGTGTCGTTGGTGTGCGTTGGGTTGTCAGCGAGAGGAGGCTTCAGTTCGTCGGTCTCTATTGGCAAAAATGACAGCTGAGGAAACGTATGCCAGGCATGTCGCTCAGGATCATGTTCCCTACCTTAAGGGTTGCCCAGAATGTATCCGGGCTCAGGGAAGGCAAAGGTCTCACTGGCGTAGTGCGTTTACAGGGATTCATTCGGCTAGCTTCGACATTGCGGGACCTTTTGTTCCTGGACAAGCATTTAATCCTGAGGCTTCGGGGAGGGATAAAGGGACAGGGTACAGGTATTTCCTGGCGTGTGCTTACTCAGTCCCGGACAAGTACAGTCCTGACCCTCCAGAGGAGGGGCCAACTGACAGTGTGAATCCGGAAGAAGGGTTTAGGGCTCAGCAAGACGATGCTGCGGATTTGGAAGCACCATTTGGAGATTTGTTCCCTGAGCTGTGGGACCTTCCGGAGGATCCTGGGTCGGTTGAGGGTGGTCTTAAAGCGGTTACGCATCGGGTTAAGGGTAAGCGGCCTGAAGACGAGGGTCCTGTTCCGGAGGTTCCGGGAGCTCCTGCCGTCGAATCGGGAAGGTCCTCTGTTCGCACTCTGTTTCTTGGGGTTCCTCTGCGAACCAAGAAAGGACGCGAAGTGTTATCGCAGGTGCAATGTTTGATTAACCGCTTGGAGGCAAATGGTTATCCCGTTAATCGTTACCATTCGGATCGTGCCAAAGAACTTAGATCGGCATCCCTTATTGATTGGCTCCGCAACAAAGGCATCCATGCAACTTGGACCCCGGGTGATAGTCCAGCGGGTAATAAGGCAGAGCTAGCAGTTCAAAACCTCAAGAATCTAGTCCGCAAGTTGCTTGGGATTGCTAAGTTGGAAGTCGGGTACTGGCCGTTGGCGTTGAGTCACGCGACGGAGCGAAATTGGGTTTTGTTCGGGGAGTCTTTGGGCCGTTCGCGGGTACCGTTGTTGCCTTTTGGGGTTCAGATTGAAGCTCGGCGACGATTCAAGACGGGCTTCGAGGCGCAATGGCGCTCACGCACCGTTTCGGGCCAGTATTTGGGTATTGCGCCGAATACGCCGGGGGGGCACCTAGTATTGATTCAGGATGGGGATTCTCGTAAGGTTCTCCTTACTAATACCGTGTACCCCTTGCGGGGGGAAGATGCTGGGGTGCCTCGCCGGCCCAAGTTTCGGTTGTTCGGCAAGCGCTCCCATTTTGCGGTTAAGGTAGTAGCAGCGGCCGAACCTCTCCTTGCTGCGGATGCAAACCTGCTGTCCCACGCGGATGGGCGTGGGGGGGGGTCTCTCTCTGTGCGGTTTTTAGAATCTTCGGTAAGTGAGTGTGGTTTCCTGGGGTCCGAGTGTTTGAGCGATGAGGATTCGGCCCGTTGGGAGGTCCCTTTTGACGAAAGCGAAGATACTTGGACCGAGGAGGGCTTCTTAGGTGAAGGTTTTGTAGCGGGATGTCTTGTGGCAGGAGAAGTAGAGGATGTTTCTGGGTTTTCGGAAGTTCGGCTCCTTGGGGCTGAGGTCCGAGAAAGGATTCAGGAGCTGTTGACCAATGGAACCTTCTCTTCCTTGGAGTGTGAAGAAGTGTTGCAGCGGGGCCTCGGAAGTCTACCAATGGCGACAAGATCCATCATGGCTAAGACCGGGGGAGCTGTTGTTTGTGGTCTTTATAGTGTTGGGGGTTTTCATGGGATTTCTAAGGCCACTGAGAAGTTTCTTCCGGTGGTGAGGTACCTGAATGAGTTTATGAAGCAGCAGCTTCCTGGGCAGGTGTGGACAAGTTTGTATGTGTCGCATAATACCCAGGCGCCAATGCACCGTGATCTCCGAAATGCTCCGGGTTTTCCCATTGGGGTTAAGGCTGTGGGGCAGTTCAAGGGAGGTGGGTTATGGATTGAAGGAGAAGACAATGTGGGTCCTGTTTGCAAATGTTTGCCCACCGGGGAGGTAAAGGCGGGACAAGTCTTTGACATCCACCAGCAGGCAATCTGCTTTTCCGGAAATCGTTGGCATGCCACTGAAGGATGGGAAGGCTCTAGTAGATGGGTTATTTCGGCGTTCGTACCGGCCGGGTACAAAAGAACTACGTCTGAACAATGGGCGCGTCTGAAGGAACTACGCTTTCCTGTTGGAGATTTAGAGGATTCTGAGGTTTCCCAAGTTAGGGCAGTCGCCACCGGAGAGTCTGTTGAGGATCTGGGTGGTTGGGATGTTGAGTTGCCTTGCTGGATTGTGGGGGAAGCAGACTGGGATTTGTGGGTGCAATGGCACCAAAGTGAAATCTGTTTGCGACGCTTTATGTTGGAGGAGCTTTGCGATGAAGGTTCTTCCTCGGACCTCCTAGTGCAAGGGGCAGAACGACTCTACTATCAGGAGCGCTTATGTGACTGGTTAGAGAATGCGCTTCAAAGGTGTCAGGTAAGAAGTGACTTATGCTGTTCTGTTCGAGCTTTGCAAGTTGAAACCCCACTTGGAACTGTAGATCCGGTGGAAGATCAGTTTCTTCAAACGCGAACTATTGGTCTAGCTGAGGCGCGACGCGAATTGGGTTGTTGGAAGGAATCTGCTCAGGAAGAGGTGACTAGTTTAGAGGTTTCCAACGAGGCCGTTGTTCGTGTTGATGCGTCTCAGGTAGATCAATGGGTCAGGGACGGAATTGCGGTTATTCAGCTTCCGGGTAAGTGCGTTCTCACTCGAAAATCAGGGACCGGTAGGCGTCGTTGCAGAGCAGTGTGCTGCGGGAATTATCTGCCTGCGGAGAAGCTAGGATTGGCAAGGGAGGATTTATACGCGTCTGGGGCGGAGGGTGTGACTCTACGCACGGCTTTGGCATATGCAGCTCGGTTTGTGGATTGGAGGGGATTGACCATCGATGTCAAGTCTGCTTTTCTGTATGCTCCTATTGGGGCTGAGGCAAAGGGCAGGGAAGAAAGGATTGTGGTGAAACCGCCTTCTTTTCTTACAGAGCTGGGTATTCTGAAGAGCACCGATCGGTGGTGGGTTAAGAAAGCTTTGTATGGGCTTCCTACTTCCCCTAAGGATTGGGGCAACTATAGGGATCAGGAGTTCCGTAGTTTGCGACTTAGTTGGGAAGGGGGCAGTTGTGGCCTGGTGCAGTCTAAAGCCGATGAATCCTTGTGGTTTATCCGAATGCTGGCTGATGATGAATATGGAGAAGTTGTGGGGCTGCTGGTTGTCTATGTTGACGATTTGGCGGTGTTCTCCAAGGTTGCCATCTGCGAAGCGTTCATCCAAGCTGTACAAGAAAAGTGGAAAACGTCCCCTCCGACTTGGTTTGGTGAGGAGCCTATCACTTTTTGCGGTGTTGAAATTGTGCTAACTGGGCGTGGTTATCGGCTGGCTCAAACTTCCTATTTGAAGGAACTCTTGATTCGGTACGGGGTCGAGGGCACTGCTACCGTGCCTGTGACCAAGTGGACTGAGCCTGAGCTCCCTGCTCATGTTGAACTTGAAGATGTTCGGGCAGCGCAAGGAATTACAGGTGCACTATTGTGGATTGCAACGCGGTCCAGACCAGACGTATCCTTTGCGGTGTCGAAGATGGGCCAGATGGCCACGAAGGCACCAAAGGTCTCCATCGAGCTGGGGATGCAAGTCTTGGCGTATTTAAGTTCGACCTCTCTGCTGGGGATAGAGTACTTGTTCGACGCGGGTTCATACTTCTCTGACCATGGGGGCTTGAGTGTACCGAGAACTGATCATGTGTTGGAAATTTACTCTGATGCTTCGCACTCCCCAGCAGGGGATCGCTCCACTCAGTGCGTGATCATCATGTGGCGCGGTTCGCCACTGGTGTGGGAATCAACGCGCCAACCGTTCACTACTCTTAGTAGTGCAGAGGCAGAGCTGGTTTCGATGGTTCACAGCGTGACGCTCACTGAATCTCTCCAACCCTTAGTGGATGAAATGGTAGGTGGGGACACGTCTATGGCACTTCTAGGCGACAACGCCGCAGCGATCAGATCCTTCGACCTGGCCGGAAACGGCTGGCGTAATCGCCACTTAAGGATGAGGGCGATCTCATGCAGAGAGCGCGTGCTTGCTGGACTTCTGCGTGTCTCTCATTTACCTGGTTCTTACCAGGTGGCGGACATTGGAACCAAGGCGCTCTCCCGAGTTCGTCTGATGCAATTACTTGAACTACTGAACATCCGAGGGCCGCTTGATGTGCGTGAAATCGTGAGTACGGCGCGCATGCTAAGCCGTTTGTCCTTGACGGGAATTGCTTCTGTTCCCTTGACTGCGGAGGCGTTAGCGGGGCTGGCGCTTATAGCAGCATTGCCACGTGTACGGGCTCAAACCAGGTGATTCGGACATAGGAGTCGGTTCAGGGTTGTACTCTTGGACTGTGGGGGTCTGTACCTTACTCTTTGGTCTATTGGGGATAGTCCTTTGGAGGTTCGCCTGTGATCAGGGGGTGCAGGGCCCGGGGGAGCAGATTGCATCACCGGAGGAGAATTGTGAGGGTGATTCGGTTCCTTGTGGGGAGTCTGCCGAGTTAGAAGCGAACGGGGCTGAGGGTTCCGGGCCTAGTGGGGCCAGTGACGACTCGGGAGATTTTTCGATTGAGGAATGGGCCAAAGCTGAAGCCAAACTGCGTGCAGTAGAGGTTGAGACAGGTTTAACGTTCCTGCAACGGGCCAAACTGAGGAAACAATTGCATGCGGGAGGAATAATCGAGGTTCCGGTGTTTCAGCAGAGATATGGTCCACTGCCCTTCTGGTTAACGGGTGACACTGGAATGGGTTCGCAAGTAGCCTTGGGCTCTTCGGATGGTAGTTGCGAGTTGGTGTTGCTTCTGTGTAGATGGGGAGGGCTGCTGATGTCGTACTTTGGTTCCCCTGCTGCTGAATGGGCTTTTCTGCGTGGGTGCTGCCGGAGCTTACAGCGAAACGTAGCACTGCGGTTGTTGAGCGCTCAAGCAAGAGTTGGTGCTACTCAACTTGCTGCTGCAAGTGGGCCGAGACCTACTGAAACTGAAGGGTCTCCGCAGCTGTTTGGGCTGACAGGGGCGGTAGGCAGCGGAGTGCCGACGGGGTCAGTCGCGATGGAATCGAGAGGTTCTGATGGGGAGCTGGAGGTTCCTGAATCGCCTTTGGTTCTTAGCGAAGATTCCGAAGAAGCAGTAGAGTCGGTGCAGTTGTACCAAGAAGGTTCCGAAGAAGCAGTAGAGACCGTGCAGTTGTACCAAGAAGGTTCCGATGAAGCGATAGGTTCGATTTCGGGGTCCCTAGGGGGTTTAGCTGTTTCATTTGCGAGTGGAGTTGCTGATCAATCTGAGGTTCCCATTGGGCCTAGTAGCAGTGTTGCTTTGTCTGGGAGCGGGACTTCTGGTTCGGTAGCTAGGGTCCAGATTGGGGGGAGTTCAAGCAGTCGCGATGCTTTCCATTACGTTGATGATCGATCGGAGGATGAAGGGGTAGGTAGTGCTCCTAGTCATGGTATGAATGCGGCTGTGCCAGAGCTGTGTTACGAAGACTACGTCGCTCCTGAAGGAGGAAATGTAGAGTTCCCTCTAGTAGGAACTTGGTTGACGGTTCACTATGTAGTACAATTGTTGTCGTATGAGGGGGTTCGATTGCTGGAATTTCTAGGACTTAGGTCTGAGAATTGCCTAGCGTTGAGGGTTGCCTCGGCCTACTTTAGACAAGCGGTAGCATCAGCAGCTGCTGACCTGCTGCGACTGGGTCCGCTGGCGGTAGCCTTTCATGGTCCTCAATGGGTTCTGACGGTTGAGCATTATCTTCTAACCGGGGAGGTTTTAGGTCTTGTCAGGAATTCTGTTCAAGTGCCTTCCTCTTCATCTGGACCGGTTTTTCCGTATGTCTGTTGGGGTTCTCCGAATGTGGTCCATTACCTGTGGAGGGTCCTTGCAAGTCAGGGTCACTTGGTTTTGTCCATGTTGGGAGAAAGAGCACGTGAGTGGGCTTTCGTTAGGGCAACTTCGAGGGATTTCTTCAGCAACATGATCCTTGCGATTATCTTGTGGCTGCAAGCCACTGGCACGAGGCGACAGGCCGATGGGGCCGTGGCGTTTCAAGCTGCATTTGCCTATCTCCAGACTGGAGAAAGGGAGTATCCGTTCCTTGAAAGTGAAGATGAGACCCTGGATGACCATCCCCATACTGCCCCTAGACCTCAAGAAGTAGTGGTGCAACGGTTTGCATACGCAATCGACGATCCCTCATCAGAGGAATTTTCCTCCTCGACGGAGGAACCGTCTATTGTAGATGCTTCTACTGAGTCGTCTAGTGCGGAAGTAGTTGAGGCTGAACCGGCGCCATCAGATACAGTTCCTACGGAGCTGTTGAGTCTCGGTCAGGGGCTTGTGTATCAGGCCGCTGAAGGGGCGCTGGAAGTGCAATATGTCGATGATGTTCTGCGAGTGCCTTTAGAAGGGTGGTCTCTAGAGGAGGTTGCGGTTGTGGTTCAGTGCCTTCAGACCGGGGATTGGACGGAGTTTTCTGAAGGGCTCTGCGCTGCGAGTGTGGGTCATGGGATGCCTGGGTCGAGTAACGATCCACCTGGACATGCTCACATTGCGGGTAGGCTTCTAAGGGGTTTCCGAAGTGGGCTTGAAGGACTTCGAGGGTTTCTTTGGAGCTTGATCGTGATGTGGTTCCTTGTGCAAAGTGTCAGGGGATACGAGATAGGGGATTCGTCTTCTGTTGAAGGGGATTTTCCTCTTGTGTGGTGTGGTAGCGACCCTAATTCCTGTTCCCCCACTGGACCCCAAGAAGTTGCTCTGCTGAAGGGGTTAGGGTCGAATAGGTGCGACGGTTCCACTCTATGGGAGCTAGCTAAGGCAGTTTGTCTTATAGGGATCTGGGAAGCTGTACGTTGGATCGTCTCCAACTGGAGAACTCTCCAACATGGCCGGGTAGAGGTAGCCTCTCAAACCCAGGATTTTAATGTGATCCAGCTGCCCCTTCCAAAGGGCGTCCCACATCGGGACCGGATCCTTTTCTCCCTGTGGATTGCGGGATACCAAGTAGATGCCGAGGCCTGTGAGTACTCTGACAGAGTTCGAAGTGGGTTCCACGGGCTCATTGGGGATTACCTCTGTAGGCTTGAGCGTGAAGGGCTTGGGTTTTCAAACGAGGACTCTTCGTCAGAGACTCCGGAGAGCGAGCACATCGACCGGTAGACGCGCAACCGGTTAGCAGATAGGTAGTCTTGCGGAGATTGAAGGTGTACCCATGGCTCTCCAGTATTGAAATACTGGGCTTTTACAAACTGGCGTCTTAAGCTTGCCGGCTAGAGCTTGGGGATGACTTTGGTTTCCGGTGTTAATAGGAACATTTGGGACGCTAGGGACATGCTGGAATAGTTCTCCGAAGGAGATGCTTCGCTGATGCGAAGGTTCGGAATGTTGTCCCAAAGATGCTTTTGTCCCTCAGCGCTGTTGGTGCTGACCTGTAGGAACAGACGGGCGCAGCTTCACAAAGTGACTTTTCCTTTTAGAGCCCCGATCGCTCATTTCTTGGCGAATTGAGCGAGGGGGAGTGCGTGAAGTGTGCCCAGGTACAGCAGAGACAGGTTGTGCGACCGACGAGGCTGTTTTTGCTTGAAAAGTTTGGTAGTCGCGTGTACCGTGGCTAGGTGTGCTTATCTCGACATTCTTTAGACTTTCTAAGGTCTTTATCTTCACGTACAAGCCCTTAAGACCTCATAATCCTTAAGCCCTTGAACCTTCCAGGATCGTGGTTCGGAGCAGAAGAACGACACGGCTGGGGCTATGGCATCCACGCAGGCCATACTTTCAAAAGCCCTAGCCCTTAAGACATTCATAACCCTTAAGACCCCGATCCCTTTCAGGATGGTGGTTCCGATCAGAAGAACGACAACACGGCTGGGGCTGGTGCAATCACGCAGGCCATACTTTCAAAAGCCCTAGCCCTTAAGACCTTCATAACCCTTTTGATTTCATATTCCTTAAGACCCCCAAACCCTTGAAACCCCAAACCCCTAAGGCCCCATAATCCTTAAGACCACGAAGCCCTTAAAACCCCAAGCCCTTAGGACCTCATAATCCTTAAGCCCTTGAACCTTCCAGGATCGTGGTTCGGAGCAGAAGAACGACACGGCTGGGGCTATGGCACCCACGCAGGCCATACTTTCAAAAGCCCTAGCCCTTAAGACATTCATAACCCTTAAGACCCCGATGGATGGTGGTTCCGATCAGAAGAACGACACGGCTGGGGCAATGGCACCCACGCAGGCCATACTTCCAAAAGCCCAAACCCTTTTGCTTTCATATTCCTTAAAACCCCGAAGCCCTTGAAACCCCAAACCCCTAAGGCCCCATAATCCTTAAGACCACGAAGCCCTTAAAACCCCAAGCCCTTAAGACCTCATAATCCTTAAGCTCTTGAGCCCTTTCAGGATGGTGGTTCCGACCAGAAGGATGACACGGCGAGGGCTGGGGCATCCATGCAGGCCTGGACTTTCAAAAGCCCAAACCCGGAAGACCTCATAACCCTTAAAACCCCGAGCCCTGTCAGGGTTGTGGTGCCGAGCAGAAGAAGGACACGGCTGGGGCTATGGCACCCACGCAGGCCATACTTTCAAAAGCCCAAGCCCTTAACATATTCATATTCCTTAAGACCCCCAAACCCTTGAAACCTCAAGCCCTTAAGACCCTAGCCCTTAAGCCCTTGAACCTTGCAGGAAAGTGATTCCGAGCAGAAGAAGGACTTGGCTGGGGCTATGGCATCCACGCAGGCCATACTTTAAACAGCCCATACCCTAACTCCTCGAATCCAGCAAGCCCTTGAAACCACGAGCCCGGAGAGCCTGAAACCTTGAGCACCCGAACCCTTCCAGGATTCGCACCCTTCCCAAACACTTGTGGCCCAAACCCTTCCCAAACCCTAAACCCTAAGCACCTTTAAACGAAACCCTTAACTCTGAAACTCTTAAGGCACTAATACTTGAAACACCCAACCCTTTGAGGCCAGTGGCGATTCCCAGCAGAAGACAGATCCGGCTGGGGACGAGAAGGCCAAACCCTTAAACCCACCAGGATGCACGCAGAAGCAAGGGTGTTGGGACCCCAATCCTTTTGAGCTCCAAGCTTCAGCCCATCCAGGAGCCGGTTGCCGAGCCGCCCATCCAGGAGCCGGTTGCCGAGCCGCCGCCTCTGGATGCCGAGGAACGGGCAATGCTGGAGGAATACACATCGGAAAAGGGTGCCGTGAAAGTCATGGTTCGATACAAAAAGCAGAAAGATCGAAACGATATCGTTATACTGAGCTTGCAGGTGGAAGGCAAATGGCGCCAAAAGGCACAGATAGTCGTGAAGTGGGGTCCCCGGGGTGGCGGGATGCCGCCATGGGCTGCCATGCTTGGAATGAAGCAGGTGGCCGAGCAGATCCTTTCGTCAGGAAATATCGACAACATCAAGCAATGGAAGGAGGATGTTGTGCGGGCGATCAATGCAAGCACGTGGGTGGAGTACATGGAAAACCTGAGGCCTCAGTGTGAAAAGTAGGCCACAACAGAGCTCATACAGTTTGTTTCTGCCAGAAAGCACTTGCTTCGAGGCGGCACATAGGCCCAAGACATGGTGGAAGCACATGACTGATTAGGACCTTGAATCCTGAACTTTACCCTAAATTACGAGGTGTGTGCCTGCTCGAAATCCAGATGTGCAATTCCTTGCAAAGTTTCACGTTGTGCACTGTGCCTGAGACACATCGCCACTGCCGCACGAGCCAGATCGTCAGTGCCGCCAGAACGAGGTTAGCCTGGGATGGGTAATCTTAAGTCATCTAGATTCTAGACCATATAAACTTTTAAGTCGGCCTCCTGTGTTTGTCCTCGGCACGTACTAGGGCTATTGTGCACGGTACAGGATGCGGATTTCAGGGTTGTGTTCTTGGCTTGAGCAAACTTACTACATGTGTACACTGCAGGTACAGCATCCCTCCATAAATCGTCGATCGGTGCACTACCACTACCACAACCGTTGCTATTACCACGTACTATAGTATATACCACTCTATACCACTATAAACCATTATACTTATGTGTATATATATATATATATATATATATACAAAGTATATATATATATATATACTGCTACACCACTCTATTTCAATTGAACGCTGTGCGAGCGGGCTCAGCACATAGCGGGCGATTGCCGCGGTGCACTCACATGGTGTGAAACTGACTCAGACCCTATAGCTGAACAGCCCTGGTCGAAGACCTTTGGGTGTTGGCGGCCTACAGGCTTCAAGCTAACTGGCAGTGGTCAGCCGAAGCAAGTTGGTAGGCTGCCAGGCATCAAGCTTCAGATTGTTGTGTGTACCTGAGCGAGGGTAGTGATGATGCAGCACTAGTTGCAGAGGCACAGTTCTGCGACTGGCAGAAGGCGAGGCATGTTTTTCTCTGACAGCGCGGCAATCAGCAGAAAGGCCGTCAGTACGTGCCGGAAGAAACGAAGTAGGATTGCAGGCATGGCCTCCGCATTTCACTGTATCGGTTGCCATTGGCACCGGTGATCAAAGGTGGGGCTCACTGGTGCCAGGAGCGGCTGCCACTGGCCCCCGAGTCCGAGCCACGATTCCACCACCCTCCTCGGGTCCAGGCATCGCCGTCTCTGTAGCGCTTGTCTGTGTGGGACTGTGTCTCTTCACCAGAGCGCTTGTCACGCTGTTCACGCTGCTCACGTAGCTCGCGTTGACGATGCCATTGGTAGGTGGGCGTGTCGCCCTTGTTGTGTTCGATACGGAGCTTGCGGACAACGTGTCCATCCCGAGGCTGGTAGAAGATGGCGCGATTTTGGCCACCACTCTTCCTGGAGGACTGGTCATAGATGCACTTGAAGGTGGAGGCCACGATCTCGAAGTTGTCATCCGTTTCGAGCAATGCGCTCATGTCCGGATGATCCCACATTTTCTGAAAAAGGGCGTGCACTATGCCATAGTAGGTCGTGGTGGACTTGAGCTCGGTGTAGCGATCATCTTGGCCAATGGATAATGTGAATTGGCCATTGGCCCCGACCATAAGCCGCGCCTGCGTGATGTCAAGCCAGTTGGCATCCTTGTCAGTGGCGACCTTCTTGATCGGGGCGAAGATCCATGGCACCTTGCCCAGTGCCCGAAACCTATTGGTCCAGAGGTAGACCTGCTCAGAGGCCGTGAGGCCACCCACTATAGCCTGCTCCTTCATAATGGAAATGGTCGCAAAGGCATGGACCCACTCCAGCATCTGGTCAGACTGGCAGATGTGGATAATCTGATCTCGCTTTGGCAGTTGATTTGCCTCTTGCGCTGGAGAGGGGTTGACACTGTACTCCACCAGCTTGGTCGTAGTGACCGGTCCCTGGTATTTGACCTCTGCACGCGTAGAGGGGGCATCCACAGGGGGGGATGGTGTGGTGTCAGCCGGGCCTGGGGTCTGCGGGACGGTCTCCTCGGTGGGGGCAGCTGTCGGTGTCACATTCTGGGCTGAGAATGCGTTGAAAGGCCGATCACTTGTCTGGCCAGAGCCAGCAGACCTGTGTGACGGCGGTGAGCTCGCCGGCAGCATCGGAGTATCTGGCGTGCCCACAGTGTCTTCCGCCCATCCCAACGTGGGATCAGCAGTGGCATGTTTCTCATCCTTGATGTCCGCCGGTTGGTCATTGACCCCCTGTTCTTGTTTCACTGCAAGAGGCCGGTGGCCCTGCGCATGTGGGGTAGGACCTGGCGGAATGGGAGGGAGGCCGAGCCCAAAGCGTGCCTTAGACACCGACGCCGTGGGTCTCCACTGGGGCGGACGGTCCGCCGTGGGTTCTGGTGGTGGTGGAGCCTGGCCTGACGCTGCGATGGCTGCAGCTGAGGGAGGGTTTGCAGGCTCGGCCGGGCGCTGCGACCACATGCTGTTGCGAGGCGGGGGGCTTTGTGGCTCGGGCACTGATCGGTCGTGCCGGGATTGCATGAAGTGGTGTGTGACTCCCAACTCATTTGGGAACTTCAAGCGCCGACCGCCGCGCTCGCAGTAGCGGCAGGAAAGCCAGTCAGGATCTTCACAGAGGCCTCGGGGGATGTTGCGGAGGACAGCCTCGGCCGAAATGCCGTGGTACTGCGGCTCCTTCTCGACCGCCGCCATGATCGCGTCAAAATCACCCCGTTCAAGGCTGCTGAGCACGGTCTCGCCGACAACTCTGACGCCTGCATTGGTGAGCATTGCTCCCGCTTGTGCTGAATGGGGTGCTGCAGAGGCAGCGCCACCGGCTTCAATGACCTCCGAGACGATTTGGGGCACGCTCTGCATGAGAGAGTTTTCATTTCTTTGAGCTGCCCTGGGGTCGCCCTTGAAGCCTTTTCGCCAGCTCCAGCAGCGGGTGAATGCTACCCGAACCTGACCGCGGGTCTCAAAGTAGTGACCGTCAGTCTCAAGCTGTCTCTTTGGACTTGGTGAGCTGAGCTGAATGTCGCTCGCGGAGCAAATACACCGGTCCGAACTGTCGGGTCTGGTTCCATCCTGTCACTGGGGTGTGGCCCATGTCGTGCGTGAGGAGCTTCCAGAGTTCCTTGCAGAAGATCATGTAGTCCAGGTTGGCAACCGAGGCAAGAATTTGCCTGCTGAAAGCGTGATTGATAGCGCAGAGCATGAGGGGATGGCGCGGTTGTCCATAGATGATGCCCTGGAAAATGTGGTCATTTTTGACCCCAATGCCCAAGATCATGTACTCCTTGGGCAGAACCCCTTCTACTCCATTTGGGCAGTGCCCCAGCTCTTTGCTCTTGCGAACTTGGACATTGTCCCATTCTGAAGCGATGAGCCCTAAAATTTGATCGAAGGGCATTCGCAGCGCCATCTTGATATCCAGGTACAGGCCACCATGATAGTAGTGGTAGACGTACCTGAAGACATCAGCCTTGTGAGCAGGCTGCCTCAAACTTTTGATCAAGTGTTCTCCGCTGTCTCCAGCATGCACCTGAAGGGTCTCGAGCAAGATCTCGTCATTGCAGAAGGAGCGCTCGAAGTCAGCCAGGAATTCCCGGCACATGCTTTTGGGACCCGGGTGATCATCGTGCATGTATGTCTGAAAAAGAGTGCGGGGCATTGGCCGGCGACTGACGTAGGGTTCCAGGAAGGGTCTGAGGGCCCATGCCTTGCCCGTGTGTCGAGCAGCCACCGCACCCACCTCAGACAGCGTCTCCGAGCAGCACAGGTCGAATGTGGCGTTCATCTCCTTGTGGACATTGTCCCCCTGGCAGTTCCATGAGCACACAACCAGAACATGGATCGCATTTGGCTTCAGTCGCCGCATCGTTTGAATTGAGCGGGATACCAGCAAGCCAATGACGTGATCCGCCACCGTCGGTCGAAAGTGACAGTTATTTTGGTTGTATATTTGATCAACCAGGGGAGGAGGGCCTTGGAGGCTCATGATGGTCTCATCGCTGAGTTCGTACCGTCCCAGGCCATACTGATCCCTGAGCTCCGCGATCCAGTCGTAGCCCTTCTGCTTATGGGGTAATAAGCTTTGTCTGATGGGGATCAGGCGCACGCTAACCTCGTCATAGTAGTGATCCCGGAGAAAATTGATCAGTGCAGGGCTTTCCGCCGGGAAAGGTCGCGTTTCTCCAAGGACGCGGATGAATTGCCAGGCCAGTACCTCCAACACCGCTGGGTTGGGTGGCTGCGCACCCGCGTACTCTGCTGTGAGAGTGGTACCCGGGCAGGAGATGACGTAGCCGTGCATTGCACCCCGAACCATGTCAATGATTCCGTAGGATTGGCCATTGGCCCCTTGCCAGAGCAAGTGTTGCAAGGTGCTGTCACTGAGCACCAAGAAGGGCTTCGGCGTGGTCGGTGTGGCTGCCATGCCCAGTTGCCTGTGCTCTTTGAGCACCGCGCCCTTACCAGTCTAAGGGAAAGTGAAGTGGTGGGGAACTGCGCAGGAATGTCGGAGCTGTAGCCTAGTGCAGAGCATGCTGTGATATTCAAAATTCAGAGCCCTGAGCCTTCCGCTGTGTATGTTGTTATGCTTGAGGCCTTCAGTGATCTTGAGCCCGGCGGCGCAGCAGGAAAGCTGCAAGTACATTCACGCTGAGGCAGCGCTGCAGAGTGAGCTTGGCTTGTGCGAGTGGGCAGGGGCACTGGTCTGGCCATGCCAGAAGGTCGGCGTCAGCAGGGGCCGCATGAGGGCATCGTCGGACCTTAGAGCGATATGCCAGCGTCAGTAGCAGTAGACATGATCAATCCATGTGTCTCGCGCTGGCAGAAAAGAGCTGTGTGTGTCTGCTGTCTTTTCAGGTCTACGAGCCGCCAGGGGGGTGTCAGCAGCTGAGGCTGTTGGTCAAAATTTATTGAGCTATTGGACGTGCTTCAGTCCGGCTCAGAGAGGGCGTGCAGCAGCCTCCGTAGCTTGAGCTGAAGGCCTGCTGGGCATTGCCCCCATGCCAGCGCATTGCTATACATCAGCTGTGCTGCCGTTGAAAGCTAGAGGAGCTTGTAGCTGTGCGACGTACCTCGAAGCTTGAGTACTTCAGG